GAGAAATCAGAATGGTGTGTTGCCTCCCTAGTGCATGCTCAAGGATATCTCAGAGAAGGTGCAGAATATTCTCAAAGGGGAGAGAGACCTGCAGGAGGTCGTTGTACACTTTGGAATTAATCACATAAGGAGAGAAAAGGATGAGATTCTGAGGAAAGAATGTAGGAAGTGAGGCAGGAATTTAAAAATGAGGTCTTTGACGGTATTAATATCTGGATTACTCCCAGAGCCACGAGCTAGTGAGAGTAGGAATGGGAGGATGGAGCAGATGAATGCGTGGCTGAGGAGCTGGTACAGGGAAGAAAGATTCACGTTTTTGGATCATTGGAATCGCTTCTGGAGTGGAAGTGACCTATATAAAACGGGTGAATTGCACTGGAATTGGATGGTGACAAATATATTGGCGGGGAGATTTGCTAGAGCTGCTCAGGAGGATTTAAACTAGGAATTGGAGGGGGGGTGGTGTTGGTGGTGGGACCCAGGGAGAAAAGAGATCAATCTGAGACTGGTACAGTTGGGGAAAGGAGCAAATGAAACAGTCAGGGCAAGGCAGGACAGATAAATTAAACTGCACTTATTTCAATGCAAGAGGCCTAAGAGCTAAGGCAGATGAACTCAGGGTATGGTTGGGAACATGGCACTGGGATATCATAACAATTATAGAGACATGGCTCAAGGATGGAAAGACCTGGCAGCTTAATGTTCAAGGGTATAGATGCTTTAGGAAGGATAGAAGGGAGAGCAAGAAAAGAGGGGGAGTGGAGTTTTTGATCAGGGATAACATTACAGCTGTACTTAGGGAAGATATTCCCGGGAATACATCCAAGAAAGTTATTTGGGTCGAACTGAGAAATAGGAAAGGGATTGTCACCTTACTGGGATTGTACTATAGACCACCCCCCTCCAATGGTCAGTGAGAAATCGAGAAACATTTGTAAGGAGATCTCAGTTATCTGTAAGGATAATATAGTGGTTGTGATTTTAACTTTCCAAACATAGACTGGGACGGCCATAGTGTTAAAGGCTTGGATGGTGAGGAATTTGTTGCGTGTGTACAAGAAAATTTTCTGATTCAGTATGTGGATGTACCTACCGGAGAAGGTGCAAAACTTGACCTACTCTTAGGAAATAAGGCAGGGCAGGTGACTGAGGTGTCAGTGGGGGAGCACTTTGGGGCCAGTGACCATAATTGTATTAGTTTTAAAATAGTGATGGGAAAGGTTAGACTAGATCCAAAAGTTAGAGTTCTAAATTGGAGGAAGACTTATTTTGACAGTATTAGGCAAGAACTTCCAAACGTTGATTGGGGGCCAATGTTTGCAGGTCAAGGGATGGCTGGAAAATGGGAAACATTCAAAAATGAGATAACCAGAGTCCAGGGACAGTATGTTCCTGTTAGGTTGAAGGGCAAGGCTGGTAGGCATAGGGGATGCTGGATGACTAGGGAAATTGAGGTTTTGGTGAAGAGAAAGAATGAAACATATGTCAGGTACAGACAGCAGATGACGAGTGAATTCTTAGAAGTGTATAAAGGCAGGAGGAGTATACTTAAGAGGGAAATCAGGAAGGCAAAAAAGGGACATGAGATAGCTTTGGCAAATAGGATTAAGAAGAATCCAAAGGGATTTTATCAATACTTTAAGGACAAAAAGGTAACTGGGGAGAGAATAGGGTCCCTTAAAGATCAGCAGGGCCACCTATGTGTGGAACCGCAGGAGATGGGGGAGATACTAAATGAGTATTTTGCATCAGTGTTTAGTGTGAAGGATATGGAAGATAGAGAACCTGGGGAAATAAATAGCGACATCTTTAAAAATGTCCATATTACAGAGGAGGAGGTGCTGGATGTCATAAAACAATCAAAGGTGAATAAATCTCCAGGACTTGATCAAGTGTACCCTAGAACTCTGTGGTGTGTGAGGGATGTGATTGCTGGGCCACTTACTGAGATATTTGTATTATGGATAGCCACAGGCAAGGTGCCAGAAGACCGGAGGTTGGCTAACATGGTGCCACTATTTAAGAAAGGTGGTAAGGAAAAGCCAGGGAACTATAGACCGGTGAGCCAGACATCGATGTTGGGCAAGTTGTTGGAGGGAATCCTGGGGGATAGGATTTACATGTATTTGGAAGGCAAGGACTGAAAAGGGATAGTCAACATGGCTTTGGGTGTGGGAAGTCATGTCTCACTAACTTGATTGAATTTTTTGAAGACATAACAAAGAGGAATGATGTGAGCAGAATGATGGATATGACCTATATGGACTTCAGTAAGGTATTAGATGAGGTTCCTCATGGTAGACTAGTTAGGAAGATTAGATCAGTTGGAATACAGGGAGAGCTAGCCATTTGGATACAGAACTGGCTCAAAGGCAGAAAATGAAGGGTAGTGGTGGAGGGTTGCATTTCACACTGGAGGCCTGTGACCAGGTGTACCACAAGGATGGGTTCTGGGTTCACTGCTTTTCATCATTTATATAAATAATTTGGATGTGAACATAGAAGATATGGTTAGTAAGTTTGCAGATGACACCAAAATTGAAGGTCTAGTGGACAGCGAAGGTTACCTCAGAGTACAATGGGACTTTGACAAGATGGATCAATAGGCTGAGGAGTGGCAGATGGAGTTTAATTTAGATCAATGTGAGGTGCTCTATTTTGAAAAGGCAAATCAGGGCAGGACTATACACTTAATGGTAAGGTCCTGGGGAGTGTTGTTGAACAAAGAGACCTTGGAGTGCAGGTTCACTCCTTCAAAGTGGAATCACAGGTAGATAGGATAGTGAAGAAGGCATTTGGTTTGCTTGCTTTTATTGGACAGTGCGTTGAGTATAGGAGTTGTGAGGTCATTGGAAAGACCACTTTTGGAATACTGTGTGCAATTCTGGTCGCCCTGCTATTGGAAGGATGTTGTAAAATTTGAAAGTGTTAAGAAAGGATTTACAAGAATGTTGCCTGCGTTGGAGGGTTTTGGCTAAAGGGAGAAGCTAAATAGGCTGGGGCTATTTTCCCTGGAGTATCGAAGGGGTGACCTTATAGAGGTTTATAAAATCATGAGGGACATGGATAGGGTAAATAGACAAGGTCTGTTCCCCAGGGTAGGGGAGTCCAAAACTAGAGGGCATAGGTTTAAGGTGACCTGAGGGGCAACCTCTTCACACAGAGGATAGTGAGTGTATGGAATGAGCTACCAGAGGAAGTGATGGAGGCTGGTACAATTACAACATTTAAAAGGTATCTGGATTGGTATATGAATAGGAAGGGTTTACAGGGATATGGGCCAAATGCTGGCAAATTGGACTAGATTTATCTAGGATATCTTGTCAGCCTGGATGAGTTGGACCGAAGGATCTGTTTCCGTGCTGTACATGTCTATGACTCTATGAATGCTAGATCACATCAAGAATGCCAGTTGTAGTAGGTAAACCAATGTTATTCCATCCGCAGTAAAATTGTAGTCCCAAACATATCATAGCAAATGGGATTGAAAGAGCATGTTACTTTTGGATTCCCCACCGAAATTTTTAAAATAAATCATTGCAATCATAACAAGCACAGAACTCCATAGTAGGTAGGATCGTTACACATTTATAACATGTCCACACTTGTTGGGTAGTTACAAGTTGGGTAAACACTGCATGAAATTAGAAGTCATGCTGTTAAGGAGAGTCTGAGTGCATAGTTGGTCTAATGTCAGCTCTGATTTTTGTTTCAATCCGAATGAGTACTGCTTCCTGATTTACAGCATCCGCAATTCTTTCGGTTTTTATTTAGTACTGTTTCTCAGTTGCCCCATGCTGTCTGAGTGGGAACATGGACAAATCAGTAATACTGTGTAGAGATCTGACGCCTTGTCCACGTTGAATTAGCTGCTTCAGCGCAGTGGTAGTCACCCTGCTATAACTGGTCTCAGGGATGTGAGACTCGGGTAGAGCCCACGTTGCAATGACCCCAGGGTCCACAGGTAACCTCCGGGTTAGTACGTGAAGGGTCATCGCGAATCCTGTTTCTCCCCTTTTTGTTAATGGGCTGGCTTGATGTTGAGACATGTAAGGGAAGCCTAGGTTCGGGATCTGCACGGTTAGCTGCTGGTCTCAGCGGGTGCAGCAAATGACCTGGAGGCCCCGGGCTAGGGAGGACGGATTTCTGCTGGTGATTATTATCCAATAACCCCTGCCGGGAAGTGTACTCTTGTGTAAATGGGGAGTGAAGAAACTGGGCTGAGAAACCTTTCTGAACCCAGCAAACTCAACAAATAATTCCACTCCACCCCCATAATCCAGCCGCGCAGCGAAATTCAATAAAACTTCTCAGTTTGGTGCTAAGGCTTACGGCTGCATACTGGGGTAGGTTCAGATATAAGGATTAGTTCACGGTTGCAGGCTTTTGTTGTTTGCACTGAAACAAAGAGTTGGTCTGTGGACAACTGCCTCTGTATTAGAGATAGTAGGAACTGCAAATGCTGGAGAATCTGAGATAACAAGGCGTAGAGCTGGATGAACACAGCAGGCCAAGCAGCATCAGAGGAGCAGGAAAGCTGACGCTTCGGGCCTAGACCCTTCTTCAGAAATGACCCTTCTTCTGAAGAAGGGTCTAAGCCCGAAACGTCAGCCTTCCTGCTCCTCTGATGCTGTTTGGCCTGCTGTGTTCATCCAGCTTTATACCTTGTTATCTCTGCCTCTGTATTAGGACGTATGATCCGGCTCTGTACGTGCAGCGGATGACTGCTGAGCAGGTATCGGTCAGGTATACCTCAAGATATGAGGCTGCTTGGTTTAAGGATGACTAAGGAAACAGAGGGCTGATGTTTACTGGAAGAGAAAAACGTGAACCGAAACGAGGTGTTTTATTTTCTTAGAGATGCGTTCACTCGAGAAGAGGAGCGTTCTGTTCATACAGAGCTTTTGTCGTTCACCAGCGAACGGAGGGAAAGTATTGGGTATATATCTTGACGCAGATTTCAGATACACAAAACCAGCAAAAACGGGCAAAACGTCTCGTTCACTTTAGCCACTGGTTTTAATGCCTCCTATCAGAATTTACACATTACCAGTCCACTACGTTTGAAATTGTTAGTCTCAATTTTGTAAATAAAAACAATGTTTCCGAACTAAATATTTCATATGCAACATTAAAATTGCAACGCCTTATGCCAACGGGCTCTCATGGATTGATAACTAAACATTTTTCTACCCAATTACATTTATTAATGAAATGTTACAACAGACAACAATTGCAATATTTCCACCACATTGTCACACGTGAATGGAGAATCTAGCAGACATGTCAAAAGACTTTAATGACGCGGGATAATTTATCGTACATAATGGCCTGTTTCTGCAACTCTCCTTGCACAGAATTCGTGCTTGTCGCGTGGGAGCTGCGGACACGATGCTCTGCCCGGAATTTGATGCAGAACATGTGATAGTGAAGTAAAAGAGAAATAATTCGTATAGCTTAGAATATTTAAAACTAGCAGAATAATTCGGATTCCTGTTTGAACCTTCGTGAAGACAATTAGCGAACTTGCGGCATTCCTAGTGGTATAAATTGTGGGGTACTGTACATAACCACTGGTCCCTCCTTTCGTTAGTCTAAAAATGTCAAACGTGCTTGAAAACGGAAGCCTGTTCAAAGTTGCGGATGTTTCACAAAGTGCATCCGCCTGCCTCATTCCACTCCTCACTCAGGACTCTCACTCAGCCTGCCCCTCCACATCACTCCTCACTCAAGACCCTCACTCAGCCTGTCCCTGCACATCACTCCTCACTCAGGACCTTCACTCAGCCTGTCCCTCCACATCACTCCTCACTCAGGACCCTCACTCAGCCTGTCCCTCCACATCACTCCTCACTCAGGACCCTCACTCAGATTGCCACTCCACATCACTCCTCACTCAGGACCCTCACTTAGCCTGTCCCTCCACATCATTCCTCACTCAGGACCCTCACTTAGCCTGTCCCTCCACATCACTCCTCACTCAGGACCCTAACTTAGCCTGTCCGTCCACAACACTCCTCATTCAGGACCATCAGATAGCCCACTCACGTCCTTCCCACTTATTCCCATGTAGGCTTCACACAACTGCAGTGCCATTAATAAATGGAGCTGTTATAACCCGACACGAGCGACACCCTCTGTCCAACAACAGGCTCGTCACTCTGTACTTTCATCACAGTATCCATAAACCTCTTCTCTGATGGTTGGAGAAATAACGGACATTTATTCTTGGGGATTAAAACAAATGGTAAAGTCCGCGTTTTTTGAAACCACCCGCTTCCTCGGTAAAACCCAGCGGAAACAGTGAATTTGAAAGTGAGCAGAAATTAATTCTCAAGTTCTCAATCAAAAATGGCGTTCGGAAACTGTCACTCTGGTCTTTAGCGGCGTTTAAATGCATAAATAATAATGCTTTACAGCAATTTATATGGGAATCCCAGTTTTCAAATATTATTTGAATTATTCAAAGAACAGATGTTCCATGGTAACTGAATAGAATGGGCTATCAGAAATAGGCTGCCCGCTACTGATATCAGTGGACATTTGCTCACTCAATAGCATTCACCTTTCCTGAAAAAATAGTCCGGCGGGGATTTGACCAGGTTGTTGTAAGCGAACTCCTGCCAAATTTCGACCATAAACAGCAACGCACCTCGTTTTGTCTTTTTATTTGTCATTTCCTGATGGGCGCTTTCTTTCCCTTGCCATCCAGGCGATGAAAGCAAACCTTCAGCCCGTCGACAGGGTGCACAACCGGGACAGTTTGCATCTTGGGGTAGGTGGCACTAGCCAGCTGCCAACTCGCGGCGCTGCTCAGTTCGACCGCCAGCGTTTTGAGGATCACTTGCGCCAGTTCTTTGCCGACGCAGCTCCGAACGCCCCCTCCGAAAGGTAAATAATTAAACCTTCCCGCTTTGCTCTCATCCCGCTCCGGTCCAAAGCGATCAGGATCGAAAGTGTCAGGGTTCAGGTAGACGGCTGCCGTTTCTTGTGTGTCACGAATGCTGTAGATAATATTCCACCCTTTGGGAATCTGACATCCCTGGGAATCAGAAAAAGCATGTCATTTGTTATATCATTTGAAATGACAGCAAAGATAGCCAACATTTAAATGAAAGGTACATCAATTCCTTCCTTTAATGTTGCAATCTCCTGCAAGAAGTCCTAAGTTGCTGACTAACAGCAAGGGTAAAGGCCACAATATATTGATGAAGGTCAGAAGTCACACGACACCAGGTTATAGTCCAACAGGTTTATTTGAAAACACAAGCTTTCGGAGCGTAGCCCCTTCATCAGCTGAAGTAAGGAATACAGTGTAACGCGTTACAAGGCATTTTATAGGACAAAGGGGTACATGATTAGACAGCGGAAGTCAGAAAGATTTAGGGAAAATGGACAAGTCAAGAGGTATTTGAAATCAGGGAACGGCCTGGCAAGAAGGAGGGATTTAGCGAACGCTAAAGATAGGGGCACACGATGGCTGACAAACTGTCTACTTCTGGCAGAGCGCCGGAAGCAAATATTAGGGAAACAGCAGTGAGCTAGAGGTAGAGTTAAGGGGCTGTGTATAACGATCAGTAGTTAGAGGAGATTAGCGAATCACTATAGGGAGGGGGCGTGTGCGGGTATTGAAGTCAATTTGTTGGGGAATGGGGAACCAAACAAGTTTTTCAATCAATTGGGATTATGATCGGACTGCACAGTGTACAGATAAAGACAGACTCTTGTATTCTGAATGAGTTATGATTTGTGGAAGAGGGGGAGAGGTGAAGCTTAAGGCGATGGATTTGCGGTCTCAGGTTCGACCATGTGGCTGATCAGCACAAGGTCAAAGGCAATCTCATTTCATTTCCATAGCGACATCTCTCCCAACGTCCTGTCCTTTTTCGTTTCTCCACTCCAGTAAACGCGCAGAAGTGAAGTTTAAAAGCACAGCACCTGCTACTCCCTCACCAAATCGATTATTCCATCTATCTCAGCCTTGAGAAAGATTACTGCCGAGCAATTTGAATATCACGAACCCCGCTTGATGTGTTCCCACTCACAATCCCCTTCCAAACATGCACATTGTCCAACAGGATGACCTCACTGGAACCAGGAATTTGAGCCAGTATTCCTACCAAGACAGGCTGAACATTACTGATACATATCAAATGGGAAACAAACCAAAGGCAGCCTGAATGTTCCATTATAACAACAAACGGACCATTATTGCAAGGAGGAGTGTATTAACTACAACGTTTTAAAAGAAACTGACAATGAATACAGCTGTGCGTGGGCTTTGTGAATCTGGCTAATGGATGTAAAGCACTGTACTCGCAATCAGATGAAGATACAATGTGCATTCAAACTGTCCACTATGTTCAGAGAACTTAATTTACAGATATTAAGACAGGGCACTAACTCCACACCAGCTATTTCACATGATGGACGGTCTAATGGCTCAAGAAGTGAATAGATAAATTGTTCCATCATAAAGTTCCAAAGTGTGGACATTCAGTGATGATTACATAAGGTTCATCAACATTTGTGACTCCTTGAATACTGAAGCAGTCAGGGTCAACTTGCAGAAAAACCAGGACAATATCCAGGTTTGGGCTGATAAGTAGCCAGTATTATTCACACTGCACACAAGTGCAAAACAATGAACATCTCCAACAAAAGAGAATCCAGTCATCTCCCCTTAACATCCAATGGGATTGCTGTCACTTAATCCCCTATATCAACATTTTGAGATTACCATTGACCAGAAACTGAGCTCGATTAACAAAATAAATACTGTGGTTACAACAGCAGGTTCATAGCTTGGAATCCTGTAGTAGGTTACTCAACAGGACTCCCCAAACCTGATCATTATATATTCCAATACACAAGTCAGGATTGTGCCTGAATATAAACTGAAAGAACAGCAGATGCTGGAAATCAGAAACAAAAACAGAAATTGCTGGAAAAGCTTACCTTCGAGTGTCACTGGACCTGAAACATTAACTCTGATTTGTCCACAGATGCTGCCAGACCTGCTGAGCTTTTCCAGCAATTTCTGTGTGCGTCTGAATACTCAACATTTACCTGAATGACCACAGCTCGAACAACATTGAAGAAGCTCAATACCACCTAGGACAAAGCAAACAATTTGATTGGCAGCTCATCTGCAACGTTAAACATTCAGTGCTTTCACCACTGATACACTTTGACAGCAATGCATACCATCTACAAAGTGCACTGTAGCAGTTCACCAAGGTTCCTCTGACAGCACCTTCCAAGCTCATAACCTCTAACAGCTAAAAACGACAAGTGTAGCATAGGAACACCACAACCTGTAATTTCACCTCCAAGCCATACACTAACTTGACTTGAAACTACATTGTCATTCCTTCGCTCTTACTAGGTGAAAATCCTGAAGTTGCCTTTTTACCAGCACTAAGGTAATATCTATGCCCCGGTGGACATCAGAGGTTCAAGAAAACAGCTCACCATAATGTTCCCAAAGGCAGTTAGGGATGGGAATTTAAAGTTTTTTTCTTTATTCATTCACGGGATGAGGACGTCACTGGCTAGGCAGCATTTATTGTCCATCCCTAATTGCCCAGAGGGCAGTTAAGAGTCAACCACATTGCTGTGGGTCTGGATTCATGTGTAGGCCAGACCAGGTAAGGATGGCAGTTTCCTTCCCTAAAGGACATTAATGAACCATATGGGTTTTTCCTGACAATCGACAATGGATTCACGGTCATCATTAGATTCTTAATTCCAGATATTTTTATTGAATTCAAATTCCACCATCTGCCATGGCGGGAGTCGAACCTGGGTCCCAGAATACTATCTGGGTTTCTGGATTAATGGTCTAGTGATAATACCACTAGGCCATCACCTCCCCTATATTCTGGCCTAGCCAACAATGTACACGTGCCATGAAAGACCACGTTTCAAAATAAGAGCAGGAAGATTCCATGCTATGCACCAAGTCAGCTGATCTCAGTCTGTGAGGTGTTTGACCTTCAGCCAAACATTGGACACCAGTGCAAACCTTCTGTCACCACAGTCAAGTATCTTCAAATCCTGCTGGCAAATCTATGCATGTACTTCCTGATGCAAGGTTGTTTTGTGGCACAGTAGTAATGCCTCTACCTCTAGGCCAGAAGCTCTGGGTGTCAGCCCCACAATGTCTCATTAGCCATGGGACGTGCATTCACAACATGGCTAAACACACTTGTTGTTAGCCTGTAAATCCTTCCAATCTGCCTGATAGAAGATGGTGAAAATATGGGTGTCACCTGCTCAGCCATCCTGGCAATGGCAAAACACTGCAGTGCTGGAATGAACTGCCCGAGGAAGTGGTGGATGCAGGCACAGTTACAACATTTAAAACACATTTGGGTAAGTTCATGAATAGGAAAGGTTTGGAGGGATATGGGCCAAGTGCGGGCAGGTGGGATTAGTTTAGTTTGGGACATTATCGGCATGGACTGGTTGGACAGAAGTGTCTGATTCCATGCTAAATGACTCTATCTGTTCCAAATGTGAACCAATCCAACCTGACGCTATGGTCCAACACTTGGAACTTGGGATGGGGGAAGAAAACAATCTCTGATGGATTCCCTCAGAGATAGTAAGAACTGCTGATGCTGGAGTCAGAGATAACACAGTGTGGAGCTGGAAGAACACAGCAGGCCAGGCAGCATCAGAGGAGCAGGAAAGTTGATGTTTCAGGTCGGGACCCTTCTTTTTCATTTTTTTCTGAAGAAGAG